TCACCAGAGAATGAGGGAGAGTGAGTAAGAAGCATGTGTTTTTTTGTTTGTTTTATTAATACTCACCTGAGAATATTTTTTCTATTGCTTTTCAGAGACAGTGGAAGGGAGAGAGGGAGGGCAAAAAAGAGAGAGAGAGAGATAAATATCAATGTGAAAAATACACATTGATCAGTTGCCTCCAGCATGACCCAACCAGGTATGTGCCCTTGACCAGGAATTGAACCATTGATCCTTCAGTGCATGGGCAGATGCTCCTAACCACTGAGACACTATCGGCCAAGGTGAGGCATGTCTTTAATGTCCTTCAGACCCAAGTGCTTATTGGCTGGGTGACCTTGGGCAGGTGACTTAAACTCTCTGAGCCTCATTTTGCTACCAATGTTGTGAAAATTAAATGAGGTGATATGTGAGAAAACCCTATGCAGTTCTGGCCCCACAAAAAAGGGCTCAGAAAGTGGCAGCTGTGGCCTGTGCCAGTGGTACCAGCATTGCTGTCACTGTGCTATACTGGGGACCCGGAAAACGCTTCCCAGACTTTAATGCAGGGAGGATCTAATCCAGCGCCAACAGGATTTAACAATGGAGTCTAGCAAAGGCAGTTTAAGTAACTCTCCTCACCTTGAAAGACAGTTGGGCTTGTTCAAATAGATTATTCAGAGGAAGTGAATTCTGAAATTCAGTTGTAAACAACATGGCCAATCCTACAAGTCAATCTGTAAAGATGAGTGATGCGTATTTAAGGACCTGAAGCAGAAATTCAAAAATATAAGGAAACAATGAATTCTAAACTTTGTGATTCATCAACTGCAAGGCAGCCCTCAGGAGAAAGAAGATCAAATATTTGTCCAGGCCCTACCTGGTTTGGCTCAGTGGATAGAGCATCAGCCTGTGGACTAAAGGGTCCCGGGTTCGATTCCCATCAAGGGCACATGCCAGGGTTTCAGGCTTGATCCCCAGTATGAGGAGTGCAGGAGGCAGCCAATCAATGATTCTCTCTCATAATTGATGTTTCCATTTCTCTCTCCCTCTCCCTTATTCTCTGAAATCAATAAAAATATATTTAAAAAAATATTTGCCAGAAAGTTTACAAAACAATGCCTTGGAAATAAAAAGAATTATCTTCAGGTAAATATTGCTGTGCTTTTTTATCATATTAATATTTCATTACCTAATGTTACATACAAAAATCAAATGATTCATAAATGTCTTTCTCTGATGTATGTATGCCCTTGGATTTTCACTTTTCTACCATCACAGCTGTGTCTACTCCTTATCCCCATGGGTGAAACCAAGGCACCTCACCACATTAAAATCATTTTAAATTCACGAGTAAGATTAGACTATTGAAGAGTAATTAGTGACTCTCAGAAGTGATATTATTCAAACCAATGGTAACTATTATTCAAATAAAAAAATAAGCCAACATTTAATAATACAAAAATTATTTATTAGTAAAAAAAAAAAAAAAAAATTAGGCTTTGTTCGTGATACAGAAAAGTAAAATCGTTAAATGTTCCCTACAAAACTTTTCACTGGAAGCATACAGAGTAGGAGTGGTGCCGTGACCGGGTCTGAGAACTTCATCTTAATGCCTAAGACAGCGCCGGAAAATGCAAAATAGTGACCTGTAAACTGCACCTGCGATGTTTTGTTAACAGATTGCCTATTGCAAATTCTCGTTTGGCGCGGCAGCAAAACAGACATATGCATGCCAGGTTCTAGGTGAATGAAACTCTATGAGCTGTAGCAGATGTCACAGTTTGTTTCCTGCATGTAGAAATCACTGCCGGCTGCTGCTGAGGGATCCAGGGTCACACAGTCTGTGCCGGGACAGGAAAAGTACTCAGATGCTCTGATGGTGGCCAAGTGCTCAGCCTCGCAGGACACACAGTAGCAGCCTGAGGTCGAGGCTGGGAAGAAGCAGTCGTATTGGGCGTGGGAGGGCAAGTGAGGGTAGGAGTAGTCTTCCGAGGGATAGCCACAGTTTCTGGTGTCCAGAGAAGGGGCGGAATTGTAATTCTCCGGTGTATAGGAAGGCAGATGAGATGGCGAGTAACCGAAGTCTAAGGAGCCAGAGAGAGTGGAATCTGAAGGTGACCCCAGGGTCTGGGAAAATAAAAACCAAGGAACAAAGAGCTTGATAACTTAGACAGGATTAAAAGGACTGAAAAGAGTGGATTTAATAACTCAGGGTAAGAACATTAGGGGTAAAGAAACAAAACACCAAGCCCAACCCAAGTCTGTAGAAGTAATTTTATTAGCTGATTGCGTGATTTCATGACACCACATTCTATATTTACCTACTTCTTTCCCAACAATAAATTGCCTTGCTTCACTGGCTCCCTTTGTTGTAACCATACTTTAGAGGATGTTTTGCCCTTAAGCCACATAATCCCATTGTGCTTCGAGTCACCTGCTCATCAAGCCCTGCTGTGGGTCACAATCTAAGCTCTGGGCACAGTGTAAGCTGCAGATGGCACCGTGGACGGCTCTCCACACCCCTGGCTGTGAGCGCGCTCAGGTAGAACTGGGGCCTTCTATGATCCAGTATCTGGCAGACTCCAAGATGTGAAACAACTCTTATATTCACTAAAGTTTTGTCCCTTGATGAGAAAGGTACTTTCCTCTTAAGCAGGTCTGCAGCTGTTACTGAGAAAGCCTAAGTTGGAAGCTAGGCGGGAGCTGGGTGACTGGGGGCCCTGCATGCATATTCTGTGGAGTTAATTTCCTATCCCCTTAAAATGTAGTCTGATACCTACACAAACATTTGACAAAATGAAATAAAAAATGATTTACGTCAAAAGATGGTACTTTATAAGGTTTTAAAAAAAATCTATGAGTATCTACGCAACTTCTAAAACAAGTGGTATCCTACTAAAGTAAACCTTATTGCATTTTAAATGATCTGTTTTTAAATGTTTGAGGTTCATCAGAATAGACCATCCAAATTTTTCAAATATGAGAGCTTCATTTTTCCTAACCACCTCAGACTTAAATGGTTCTTGTGCCAAAACCAGACCAAAAGAACCAGTTAGTAGAGTCAATTCAATGTCAAAATAAAAGGCACTTAGCAAAATGACAGTTTGGTATTGTGTAGACGTGGCCTTAATTCCATTTTCAAGAACCCCCAAATCCAAGGGCCATTTTTTAAATCAATGATTTCCAATTAGGAGATGTCATTATTGTAGAGTTTAAAAACATTACATGTATATTGCCCCTCAGTAGCTAGGGAAATGCATGGTTATTTCTACTTCCAATGAATCGTGGATGGTTCTTTGCTTGCTCCCTGGATGCTTTCTTTGTTGACAGTGTTTGTATGCTTTCTCAGGAGACAATGCAAACATTCTTACAAAGCTTTATAACCATATAATAAGCAATAAATAGGTTTTTCTAAGAACTGAGCTAATTACCAGGCTCTGGTTGAAGCAGAAAGGGGCAGCCTGGAAGCTGTCCGGAAAGTAGTGTGGAGTACTTTGCGTGGAATTGAGCAAAGGGTCCAGATGAGACTCTGTCTGAAGGTAGGAATCCAAGATCTGGTCGAGGAAGCTTGGGTTTTCTTCACAAGAAACACAACTGGAAAATTCTCGTGGTTGAAAATAATTAGGTGTGGAAGAAACGGATTCAGGTTCAAAATACACTAGCAGAGAAAGGGGGAAAAAAAGATTTTTCTATTTTAAAGTTTGTAGTCATGAATTTGAATGAAGTTCTAGTCTACGTTTGAATATTTGCTATGCCTAGGGGAAAAGGGGGCTTATGAAGTTCCAGAAAGGTGAACAGTCAGGCAATTTGGTTTTTTAGTTGCCTTAGCTAATTCAAGTTTCATTGAAATGAATCTGGTTAATAATATGAACATTGGCTGTGAATGTGGCTAGTGTTAAAATAAAAGGATGGTGATCCAACCTGTGTCTCACTGCCACAGAGAATCATGGCTCACACCTGCACTTTCTTGGACCATAAAAGCATCCACATTCAGCCTCTACCTGCAGTTCAAGCACACGTCTCTGAAACAGCCGGAGTTGTTGGAAAAACTTCTGGTGTCATGGGAAATAATTCTCTTGATTTAGGGTTAATACATTCCTAAACTTTCACACTTACTAAGTTACTTAAATTCCAAGGAGCATTGTAAATACCAAGCAAGTTATAAAATCAGAAACCAGAAACACACAGGACAAATTACCATTACTTGCTCTAAATTATACAAAGCAAAAATATTTTCTTAGCGTTAACATGAGAATGGAATTAAAATAAGGTGTTACATGCCAAACAAGAATAATTCTGAAACCGTGACTCCTTTTTCCATTTTAGGATTAATAGGCCCAATTTGTGGTTATTAATCTAAAAAAGCTCAAAGAAGAGAGGTTTAGAGTGTGTCCATCAGAGGGATTCTTTGAAGTCTTAAGGTTCCTTTGAGGTTAAGTGAAAGTGGCAAATTCAGTGGTGAGCTATCATAAGCAGGTTTCCTTGAATATGAACTCTTTAAACTCTTAGCCGATGAGTGGCGTAGGTAGGAGTGTTTATATAATAGAGTTATTCGTATTGGGCTGAGAAAACTTTCAGCTGTTTGAACTGCTCTCTGGGAAGACAGAGGGGCGGGAAGCCCCTGTCGGCTAGATTCTAGGACCTCAGAGTGTTCTGTGGTCCATCGAACGGCAGGAGACAAAAGACAGCTTTCTAAAAACAATTCTGATCTTTTCGCCCAGCTCAGTTACTTGTAGATGGGGAACTGGAATGAATGAGAAGAACAAACTCAGGCCAGAGTAGGCAGGAGAGAAGAGACAGTTCAGAAAGAAGAAAACATTTGCACTTGTTTGCTTGCGGGGCTTCCATCTGGAGTCACTAAGCCTTTTTCACCTCCTGATTGGTTGGATTGCAATTAAATGGTGGTGCCTATCTTAACCCCCGAATCAAGCATTGAAAGACTTTCCAGATTCACTTTTGAAAGCGTGTTGGAGGGAATTGTAATGCTGCTGTACTGACCTGCAGAAGGTGGTGTGACCGGATCTGAAAGGTGGACACTGTTTCCTCCGGGCAGCTGCCAAAGCAAGGATACAACCATAAAGCAAAGCGCAATGAGAGGTCTACCCAGGGAAAGCTATTTTGATGTGAACTATGTGCATTCTGCTCTAAGGTAAGCTAGATTCTTTCTTCTAAAAAAGTTAAAAGACAACCGATCATATATATATTAGTTTTAATTTTTAGGTTTGCTTGGGGATTTTTTCTAATATCAGATTCTCCCATTTAAAATGTAAAGGCTATTCATTTGGATCAAAATTTAATTTATATGATTTTGATATACAAGAAATGTAACAATTCACGAAAACTCAGTAAAAAGCCTTTCAATTAAACCATTCATTCTGAAATTAATTTAATCCCAACTTTTATGATTTAGTCAATCATTTCCTTCAAAATGTTCATATATAATATCTGGCTCCTTAGCCGTAGGGATTTGTTTTCTCCAAAGGACACAATGCCTAACTTTATTAATCCTGGATAGTTCAAAAATATTCACATCATCTTACCAGCTATGAAATACTAAAAATGATATAAAATATTTTTTTCTTAAAGCTGTAGTTATTGAATTGGAGTCTATCTATATTCTAGCTAGTGTCAGGAAATATTTCAACTCTTTGTATGACTTTTACTCATTTTGATACAAGTTGCTTTTTTCACTATTATAAATACTTCAAGTTTAATGAGATTGTTCCTTTTAATTATTGAAAGCAAAGCACCCCGTGTCTTCTAGTTGAATTGATAATTTTACTAACCAAGTAATTTAGGATTTGTTATTATTATTTCTTTAGGTTTCAAGTGCTGGCTTTAACGTTTAAAGAGACCAGCGTTGCTCTGTGATTCACCGCACCTCTCTCTCGGGTTCCAGGGTGTGCTTACTCCCACACACAGAGCCACTGGGAGAGCTTCGCCAGCCACGGCTGAAACAGGAGGTGGTGTTAATTTTGAAAGTGATCCATGCTGTAATGTCATGAACCAGGAAGCTGGAATCCTTCACCAGCTTTTCATGCAAATATTTGGCTGCAGCTTGAGCTGAAGGACTTGAAAGGAGTGGGTTTAAAAACTGCTTCATCGTAGGTCTCTCATTAACCCCATTCCTGCCTCCCCCCCTTTACCCCAATGATCTGTTTGTCTGCCTCCCCACCTTATCTCCCTCAGGTATGTTTACAATATCCTACTTGATATTATCTTTCTAGTCATGGGTTCACTTTCTACTTTGCTCCAAGAGTACAAAGAAAGGCAACCCTTTCGCTGATTTCAAACAGCGAAAAAAATCCACAATCTACAATTTAAAAAACACATCAAAGCTGTTAAGAAATTAATGGTTAAAAAAAGGGTAAATTATATATTTTGATAAGTACTAGCTCAAGTTCCCCTTTATCCTAAAGGTAAAAGGTGTGTGTGTGTGTGTGTGTGTGTGTGTGTGTGTGTACGCATGCGCTTGCTGGGCTGTTTGCAAATTGATCTGGCCTGGCCGAAATAAGTTTTTTTTAAAGTCAAATTTACAAATACTGCGCGCACACATTTCTCCTGGCACTGTTTGAGACCCTGATATTTATCTCAGTCTATAACTTCCATTCACAATTGTCTTCTTACGATTTCAAATTGTGGATACTACTGATTCTATGACAATTTAAGATTCATTTCTTCCTGCTTTGTGTATTTTATAAAATTAACTCTCTCTTTGGCTTAAAGCTTCCTAGAGGTGTCCTTTAACCACTGAACAACTTGGAGATCATCTCTGTGGAGCCAGAAGTCTACACCAAGAAGCAGGCACACATTATCCCCTGATGTCTGCCCCCCTTGCCTCCTGAGCATACCTTCACAGCTTTCCTGGAATCCCAGATCCTTCTGATGGCTCCCACGGAGGGACTGGAGGTCTGCCTCTCATAATTAAACCATCTGTATGGTGCTACTCCTGCCTATGAAGGCATGGGCGGATATGCTATGCAAGCAACCTCTGCAAGGCGCTAGTTTGGAAGTGCTGCTTTATTATTTCTTGGGGGGTGTGGGAGGGGGATTGAGAAAAAACTTAGATAAATCAAACATCTCCAGGGAACAGATCCTGGTTAGATACAAAGCAAAATGCTTAACCCTTGCTTTCCTTCCTGCAGCTAAGCTAGCTAACAGGGGAACAGTGGCCAAACCAACCTACAAGAGGCCAGCAGCCATAAAATCGCCACGCCCTGGGGGGACCTTCTCCAGGTGCAACTGAAGCAGAATTTTGCAGTGTACCAAAGCTCCGTAATGAAGGATTACATTTTGTTATGAACGTCTTGATGGTTTTTTTCTCTCTCCAGAAGCATTTCCCAGCTCCCTTGATCCTGGTTTTATTATTTTTATAATTATTTCTGAATTGAAGGGATTGATGGTTGAGGTTACCAGACTCGCCTGCTTAGTACAGCTGGATCTGCATAAAGATGAATTTAGGGAACTAATAGGTGGGAAGTGGTGTGTGTGTGTGTGTGTGTGTGTGTGTGTGTGTGTGTGTATAAGAATAAGACCTTGGTTCTATTTTTAGCTCCGTCATCAGTGACTGCAAGACTTGAAACTTCAGCTGTGATAGAAGCATACAAATCCCTGATCTGCTTACCTGCCCTGGTTATTGTAAGAACTAAATGGAATGAGGGTACAAACAATGCTTTAAAAGAGCCACCATAAAGCCCTCTGCAAGCAGAAGGAGGCTTTATAGTGTTAGCTGAAATTCTGCATATGGAGGCATGAACTTTGCCAGCACATTTAAAATGTGTACTCTACGTCCATATCACAGCAAGCTCACACCTGGACCTCTAAACTCTGAGCAAAGGGTGCGGATCAACATTACTGGGAAGCTGGCTTTCAAGCCTTGGTTGTAATTTTACTGTAGCTGCTTTTCACAAATAATATTGAGAGCTAACATTAACTGAGCACTTATTACATTTAAAGCACTCCTCTAAGTGCTTCACATGCAATAACTCATTGCACCTCACAAAATTTTATTATCTCCAGTTTAAAGATGGGAAAACTGAGGCAAGAGAGTTGGTATAACTTGCTCAGAGGATACACACCACAGAGGCACTGAGCTCTGAACCCAGTCCACTGGCTCTAGAATCTGTGCTCGCCACCCCTACGTTATCTGCCTCTTCCCACAAAGGCCCATTTCATGAAGTTGTGTATGGCACACAGAGAGTACCAGGCACAACACCTGCTGTGGGACAGATGCCAATAAAAGCTGGAGACAGCAGCAATGCTGATCCTGGCACTATGGGTGCCAGCTGTCAGGCCCTACACTCACATCTACACCAACCCACAAGGAATTGTACAATCAAAGGCTCTCAGTGACCAATTTCCCTCTCCTGGAGGATAACCTGACTTCCTTCCTTTGGTTTTGCCACTGCCCTGAGAGCTCCCGGCAGTGCTATCTGCTTAAGAATGTATCTAAGTGGCAGGGGACTCGAACTGTCCAGATTAATCTCGCGATAATCTGGAACTGCATAAGGTTTCATTACATCTTCAGGAGGTGCTTCCACATTCCAAGCTGTCTCCTCTGAGGAGACATGGTCCCCTTTGTGTTGGAAACTTTTAGTGACTGTTGATTTTCAGATAAATGAGCTCAGAGTCTGGATTCCAGAAGATTGAGGGGAAAGGAGGTCTGTCCCTCAGAGATTCTATCCTTAAAGGGCTTCCTACACTTCTGGGAGAGATGTTCTTTGCATATGGAGGGCACATTCACCATCTTCCTAACAGAATAACAACCTACTTACCTGCTGGCGACTCCTCTCCCTACACGGGATCAGCAAGTCCTTCCTACTCAGTTAGGATCAGTGAGGGATGGGCTCCCCTAGTCCTGAGCCCCACGACATACCACAGCTGTCCTTTGTGGCTTCCTGTGGTGAACTGGGATGAAGCTGGCCACCAAACTTATGAGACCAGCTGAGGAAGGCCGGTCTGAGGGTAGTGCCTGGGTTAGGGGGTGGCCTCTAGCCTTTCCCAGGTGCAGGTTGAAGGAGGTCTGACAGGAGTTGGGAGTAAGTGAAGGGTTTATGCTTACAGTTGCCCCTGAGGCTGCCTGGTGAGCCCTTCTCTGCTGCAGCAGCTCCTTCACCGTGATCTTCACCCGGACTCCTTGATACACCTTTGGTTTCTCTGGGGAAAGACAACCGAGCCAGGGGTCAAGTGTGAGGGTGGGTGTCAGGCTAAGGTCTCAGAGGTCCTCTTTATAGACCATGGAATCTGAGGCCAGGTTTTTAGGTTTGGAGAACACAAAGAGAATGCTAAAAGACAAGTGGGAAAAACTCAAAAGTCCTCAAGCTCCAAGGGGTGAAGGAAGAGAGGCAGGAACATATGGAAGGAAATCTGTGAGGCCACCCACCTCAGATTGGGTCCTATCCCTAGACCAACAGCAACCGGGATTTTCTGTTCAGGAATGTGGAGACCAGGCCAGCGGAGCTCACCAGCTTGGCTAAATTGGGGGATACCTAGGCCCAGGCCGCTGGCCTGGGAGAGGGTATTATGGACCAGAAAGGGATCTGGCCCTGGTCAGGGATGCTCTGAGACCCGTGGCAGCGACCTAGCCCACCCCACCATGATGCTCCCACGGGGGTATATCCGAGTCCCTTCCTTCTTCTCCAGGCCAGGGGTGGCTTCTGGGGAGGCGCCAACCTCTACGCGCCCTTGGTCTAGAAGCCAGCGGGGCCGGCTGTGACTAGTCTTGTCCTTGGGCCAGCCAACGACTGCCAGTCTCACCCCAGGAAAAGGCTCCGGCCCTGGGAACCCCGTCCCTGCCTTCCCCCGATCATTTTCTGATGCCTCCCTTCCCTCGCCCCCTTCCTCCGCCTTTCCCGCTCTCCATCTTCTCCTCCTCCCTCCCCGAGTCCTGCTCCTGCGCTCCCCTTCCTCCCGGCGCTCCCCACCCCCTCCCTTTCTGGGGCCGGCACTTCTCCGCGCGCGGAGGCTCCGAGAGGAGTCCGCGCAGCGCGAGTTCCGGGAGGAAAGCGGTGCGGGGATCCCGGGGATCGCGCACAGGGAACCCACACGGGGATTAGGGGGATCTCGCATGGGGATCGCGGAGATCGCGCTCCGGAAGGGGCCGTCCTTGGGGCCGCGGGCCGGGCGCACAGCCCCAGGTGGCGGGGCCAGCCGAGCGCGCCGCGGGGAGCGGGCTGCCGCGGCCCCCGCCCCGGCTCCGCCGAGCCGCAGTGAGTAGGTCGGGCCGGGCAGGCGGGGCAGGCCGGGCTGGGCGGACGTTCCCAGTCGGGAGTGTGGCCGCAGGAGCACGGCGCGACTCCGGCTCCGACCTCCCCTTGGGAGCGAGCGCCCGCCCGGGAGCCGCCGCCCGGGTAGGGCCGGGCCCCGCGCTTTGGGGCGGCTGCGCGGCCAGCCCGGGCGCCTGGCGACAGTGCCAGGCCGCCAGCGCCTCGCCTGGTCATTGCGATCACCGCACCTGGACCGCAGGGAGACCCCCGGGCCGGGGCCAGGGAGCTGGGGGGTCTCCCCCGGAAAGGAGGCTGCGCCGTGTGCAGCCCAGACCCAGGGGATCTCGCGCCCCGCCCGCAGGGCGTGGGGGCCGCGTCCTCCCTGCGCCCAGCCTCTCCCGCTGTTTCCTCGGGAATCTGCGCCTCCGCGGGCTGCGGGCTCGCCTCGGGGTCCCCGCTGGGACCCCCGCAGTTCAGCTCCGTAAGCCCCGCTCACGCCCAGCCCGCGACCTGGGTTCACCACGAGCCTCTAGCTCCCCCCGCCGCCGCGTTGGGGCGCGCGGAATCCGGGCCGCGAAGTCCCCGGGTTACCACTGCGGCGACGTGGAAGGGCGGGCCGGGGGGCCGGGCCGGGGTACGCGGACGCCCGCAGCAGCTCCCTGGGCATCTGGGCCTCTCTCTGCTCTGGGGAGCAGGCGCCCCGAGTGGGAGCGGCCACAGCGTGGCCCGTGCCCTCTCCAGATCCCCGGGCCGGCACACCCTTGTAAATGCTCTGACTTTGTGCCTCTCTGTTCTGTGCAGGAAAAGCCGTGGAAATACACCCAGACCAAAACGCCCCTGGCCCGCGTGACCCTTCCCCGGGAGAAGCAGCTGAGTTACCCGACATGCTGGTCAGCAGGAGCTGGGTCTGTGGCTGGATGCAGCAGCTGCAGGGCCTCAGCGCCTAGGAGGGCTCCTGTGCAAGGAGAGAAGCAGAGATGCAACATTTTTAAAGTTTCACAAAGCATCCAGCTGCATCCAGGTTCCTGGAGCAGAAGACAAACAGAATTAATGTTTTATACCTTCGGGTATAGGTTTGAGTTTTTTCCCCCTCATGCCAAGTATTTAAAACCTCTAGAAACCCATGATTTGACAATCAATGATTGCGCGGTACTTTCAATTTGAATATTCAAAGGCTTAACAAAATGGACTATCTTCTGCAGAAATCCTGCACACAGGCACACCACAGAGAGTCCAGAGAAACAGGGAATGAGACCTCTGTGGGTCCTGGCCCTTGCTTTTGCCCTATTTTGAGCATTTTGCCCACCTTCTCCCAGACAGAGCAGGAGAGCTCAAAGATGCTCTGTATTTCTGCCTCAGAGGCAGCCCCAGGAGCCCTGCATGATTTAGGCTGTCCTTCATGAGCCCCTGAGCCAGGCTGGCCAGCCAGATGGGGCCTCACATCCCAAACCTGTATTTTTAAGGGAAAAATCTTACATTTCGGGGGAGTGAACATGACAGCCAGTAGGTGTGGCATAGCAAAGAGTCACTCTGGGCCCAGCTTGCAGGTCAGAGAGCCCGCAGAGGACTTAGCTCTGCACCTCATCTCCTTTGGACCCCACCTGTCCACGTGCAGGCTTCCCTGCCCTTTTGCCTGCTCTCTGTCTGGGCCCCAAACACTGGGGTTTCAGCCCAGAATGCCTGCCCATTAGGACTTTTGTGGGTCCCCCTCCCGTTCCCCCTAATGTGCTGAGCTGCCCATGGCCTGGCATCCTGGAGGTTTTCTGAAGCTGGTGGTTTCTTCAGGGTGAAGTCCCCCCTCTTCCCCCTTTTCCTCCCAGAGCATCTCTGCTGGTTTACTACAGGAGCCTGTGTTTAGGAATGAGAATACACAGAATACACAGGAGCTTGGCTCCTGCTCATTTTAGCTGCAAGGACATGAGGTACTCAAGTTTCACTCTTTGGGGTGAGAGATGGGAAGGGGGTGGTCCAGGTCCGAGCCCCTCACAAATGACCTGGGACTGTGTTGGGTCACCTTCTCCAAGCACTTCTGGTGCCTCTCCCGTATCACCTGGGAGCTTGAAGGCAGATGTGGTTCAGGGAGAGAGAGAGTGCCAGG